AGAGAGAGAGAGAATTGAACCACCAGCTCACCTGATGCATTTTTCATTCCAATTTCTTTTGAAGGAGATGGCGCCATACTAGAAAGCTGGATTTTGGATCTACTACTACTGTAACAGTAGATTGGCTGCTGCAACCAATTTCTTCTTTGTTGGGGGGCGGGAGGGGGTAACATTTTCCATGGTTTTGGGTCTAKCCAACCTAGAGCCATCGTCGAGCCATCGTCTAGTCAGCGTAGAGCCAGCGTCGCAGCCAGCATCCAGCCAGCGTCAAGCAGCAAGTGCAAGACTGAATGTCGGTCAGCAGGGGCTGCGTTAACTTATAGTGTTGACTCGAGGTTGACCAGCCTCTGGTCTCTCGGATACAACGGCCCAGATTGACCCACTGTCATCGGCCTGGATCTCATACAGTTGCAGATTCCCATTAAGTCTTCAAGTTGGACCGGATTCCTGCAAACAGCCATTGCAAGTGTATGTATCTGATCAGTGGCCTGGGCTGGGTCCGTGTTGACTTTGACTCGTGAGCCTGAATTTCCGAGGTGCTGTTGACCTTTGACTTTCCGTGGTCAGCTGTCGCGTTTCGGGCCTCTGAAGCCCATGTTTTAGGCCGCCTTGCTTTGGTACCGACAGCAGCTGGCCTTTGTTCAGGCTATTTCTTGACATGGGGTGTGGCCGCTGGCCCCTGATTCGTCCCTTAAAGGCCAATGTGACGACCTATGCCTCACAAGTATAGCATGATACGAGCTGAGTTATTACACTATCATAAAATTATCTTCTTAAGCCACCTGTATGGAGTAGACCACACTCTTCTTTCAATCGGCCCGTGGGGACCACCGGTTAGATTGCTCGGACGCAAGAAAATTTAGGCTCAGCAATTTAGGGTCATTCTGGCGCTTTCACTAGTACAAAAATCTTTTTGAGAATGGATTGGCTGAAAAAGTGAAAGAAAAAAAGAAAAGAGAATGGATTGGCTGGCTGTGCAGTGTGATGTGGAGTGAATGTGCAAGTTAACCTTTGTGTTGATATCCCCTCCGATTAGCTTTGTTAGTGGCAACGGCAAAAAGCGCTTTAGGCTCTTTAGGGGCAAATTGGCCAACCATACCAAATTAGTACCTGCATCCAGTTCTTCGGCCTAACTGCTCTCCTCCTGTTCTTGGGCCTGGACTACAAACAGAGCCCGAAGTGGGACACTTATCATGTCAAGTGCAAAAAAAAAGACTTGCATTATGTGACTCCTTTCATTGCATGTTGATCCTGTCATACCTACTCGCGGGGGAAATCGTTGGCGGTGATTAACTTGAAATATGGCAGGGCCAGGGAGCGAATGTACGAGCGTTGAGTACTGCAGGTCCTGGACCACTGGAGGTTTTTTTTCCTCTGTGTTCTCCTTCTATAGGCACTCAATGCTCATATCAGTGACACCCTCAGATACCACCAGCAGTGCGATGTAAAAAAAAAAGAAAAGAAGAAGAAGAAGAAGAAGAAGAAGAAGAAGAAGAAGAAGAAGGCAGGGAAGTGAAGAAGAGGTTGGGGCACGGATACGCAGTGATGTAGGATTTGGCGGTGAGAGGAACGGGAGGATCGGCGTCGATTCGGAGAAGCCGATCGTCAATTACATAGATTTTCTGTCGCGCGCTATTCTTCTTCATCTTCGTTCTTCTATGATGTATAGACGAGAGGTCCAGAAGGACCAAGATGACTCAATGGATGGTCGTGAGGGACCGAGGCACACTGCCACTACGGGTCCCGGAGCGAAAAGAAGTACCTTAGGGTCCATCCGTGTTTACGGGAACCTTTGGAAGAGTGGCTGAGTCCCTTTTCTTGCTCTGTGATAAGCAACCGGACTGACGCCCCCCCAGATGGGGGGGGGAGGGGGAGGAGGGGGAAGAGGAAAAAGAAAGCCCTCCTTTCCTCTTAATGTAAAAGAAATAAATAAAATTTTAAACAAGTAAATAAAATTATAAAGCTGATGGTTGTTTCCACTTGTTTGCATTTGTTTTCCACTTTGAAATTCTGTCTGCTTTGAGTTCAACTTGTCCTTTTTTTTCTCCTGGAAATTTGGAAAACACATCAGATTCTGCTCTGGATTGTTGTCCTCGTATGAACAGATAAAGGAAAGGTGGGAGATGGTGGATGGAAGAGGTGCCTGGGAATCGCGGAAGACTGTCTCTCCTGTGCTGGAGTCGGTGCTTTTCCTTATGCAGGTATATACAGCATTATACACCTATAAGGCTACACTGTCAGCTGCACAACATAATATAAATGAGTACAGATTCTAAAGAAGCAACGGCGGACGCGGATGGTTTTGAATTCCAGGACCTAAACCCTAAACAAGAAACACGCATCGGCAAAGAAATCACGAGCCGACTTTGAAACGGCAATTTCAGTCTAGAAGTATCCGTTGGGCTTTTTTTTTTTTTTTTTCCATCTGACACCACGGCTGACCCCTGTAAAATATGACACCTGGTCTGACACCACGGCCGCGGTACTTACATTGCCCTTTTTGAACTCTCGCCTGGTTTCTTTGAGGAAGCTTTTTTTTTTTTTTTTTTTGTTTTTTTTTGTTTTTTTGTTTTGCGCCCTATGAAACGCTGATGTGACATGAACGTACGTCGTACTTCCCTCATTACTAAATTATTTAAAACAAAATAAAATTATAAACATCCGATCTAAGCTCTTAGAAAATTTTAAACTTGTAATTTCCAGTAACTACTTTCAAAAAAAAAAAAAGGGAAAAACGCCACAGGCTGGCAGAGAATTTGAGTGAGATCTTATCCTTAATCCCGGAAGGCTGGGCCAGACTACATCAGGGACCACGGCGTTGGGATTATGGGGAGTGGACCTCCTAGTCCAACAGGGGCGCTCAACGGAAGCATTTAGAATCGGGAGGCAAGCGGGACTGGGAGGGGGGAATGGCTGAGCGCACAGATGTACACAATTTAACTCCCAGGGGCCTATACAAGGCAATTGGACAAGGATACGTGCACCACGATCACCATAAAAAAGGACCATCTGAGGAAAGTGAGGGTGATAGAGACGGAGGAGTTCACGATATTTGCTCCAGCAACGGACATTCAGAATCTGGAGATCCACCCAGTTGAGTGGGCCTGGAATCTCAGGAGCAGCGTACTAGGCATAACAAGGACTAACATACTCCACTACCTGTCTCTTATACACATCTAGATGTGTATAAGAGACAGGAAGGAGACGTTCTACAACCTTGTGGAAACGGACATACGGGCTCAATAGAAGGGAAATCCAATCCGTAAGCAGGCCCAGCATAACCCACTGCAAGCCAAGGATCTAATGGAGAATTTTCAGAAAAGGGTCTTGGCTCAAGGAAGGATAGCATCAGTGGAGGGCTCGACATTGAGCTTCCAATGTTTTGATAGGTAGATAAGTTTAAGAAGACTCAGCTAGGGTTTAGGGTTTAAGTACAAGAAGTATTTAAAATCACGGGTAGGATAGCAACAGTGGAAGGCCTGATGTTGAGCTTCCATTGCTCTGAAAGGTACATAAGTAAGCTAGGGTTTAGGGTATATGAATTTAGAAGTTTCTTTTCTTCTTGCATCGGGTCCCTCACGGGTCTCGTCAAAAGCATAACACCGGGTAAGGCTCCCATGTCCGGTCTTTATGTGGGGTGGCCGCCCCCTTTTGGTTTTAATAAGACTGTTTAAAAGAAGCCAAAAAAAAAAAAAGATGACCGGAACAAGAACAGGATTTGAAAGACAGGTTCGATCGCAGAATTATGGGGAATGGCAAAGTCGCAACAGGCCTCGTATTCCTGTGGAGACAGAGAGGATGAGGTGTCGGAGGTAAAGGGAAAGAGGAGCAACAGCAGCTGGGTTTAGGGTTTAAGGTGATGAGGATAGGTGGAAAGTGAGAGGGGAGGGAGAAGTTAGGCAGAGGAAAATAGAGGTAGTTTTAGCGTGTAGCATGTTGGGACACTACGCAGGGGTTTCAGTTCTTCCATTTCATTTCAGCCCATTTTATTTCTTAAGTGCAACCTGGGGATAGGTTTGTCAGTTCTTTCGGCTCCTAAATGGAACGTAGGGGCAGGTTGGAAGGTTCTTTCGTTTATTGCTATTTGTCATTTGTTAATCCAGTTTAAAATTTAAATTTGTCTTTGTTCAGGAATAGCATGGAGTTTGACAGGAGAAAGGGACACTGGACGCGGTTTCCAGCATGAGCCTAATGTGTGTAATGACAGTCTTCCGGGTTGAGATGTGGACGGATTCCCGGCCTCCTTTTGCTCTTTTTTTTTTTTTTTTTTTTTTTTTTNAAAGTGCAATTTAACTCCCAGGGGCCTATACAAGGCAATTGGACAAGGATACGTGCACCACGATCACCATAAAAAAGGACCATCTGAGGAAAGTGAGGGTGATAGAGACGGAGGAGTTCACGATATTTGCTCCGGCAACGGACATTCAGAATCTGGAGATCCACCCAGTTGAGTGGGCCTGGAATCTCATGGGGAGCGTACTAGGCATAACAAAAAGGACAAACATACTCCACTACACCACCAGGCTGGGCTACAGACTCAGGAAGCGCTTAGCTCCATTAGTCAAACCCTTGGCATTTAGGTGGGGGAAGAAATTAATTTGAATTTATTCGGAAAAAAAAAAAAAAGATGGGGGAAGAGAATGCAGATACCGAAAGAAAAAGTGGCAAAATTAGCATCAGGATGGTCATCCCTACATCAGATCGGATTCCGCCTAAGCAGGGTAAGGAGTTTGCAGTGGCTGATCGTTCACGTGGCAGTCCCAGTCAACTTGTGGCTTTTTTAGCGCCGCAGTCAAGATCATCGGGACCCCACCTTTCACCAGTGCACACAATGCACGGATGGAGCTCTGGAGACTCTGCGTCACTGTCTCTTGTACTGCCCAGAAGCAGGGTACCTATGGGACGAAGCCAGGACGCTCTGGGGCAAAATAACGGACTCCACTTTCCCCAAAGGGGAGGAGACGCTACTGATAGGAAGTGACCTTCCAGCAGCTTGGTATCAATACCAAAAGAGCGCATTCCAGCTTTTAAGGCAACATGTACTGTGGACAATATGGAAGCGCAGATGCCAGCAGGCCATCGGAAACAAGCAAATGCACAGGCGGGAAGCGAAGGAGACGTTCTACAACCTTGTGGAAACGGACATACGGGCTCAATAGAAGGGAAATCCAATCCGTAAGCAGGCCCAGCATAACCCACTGCAAGCCAAGGATCTAATGGAGAATTTTCAGAAAAGGGTCTTGGCTCAAGGAAGGATAGCATCAGTGGAGGGCTCGACATTGAGCTT